CCCCCCCCCCCCCCCCAAAACGAAAACTCTTCGGTTCTCCACAAATTACACAAGTCACCCAAATCAGCGTTAAAAAAGCGGGAGGCGCCGAAAAGCGACTAATTTGCATCTCTGAATCCTTGACCTCTGTGTGAAATGTCACAGGGTTAAGGGATAGTTGTTAGGATATTTCAAAAGGACTTAGGAAAAGACGACCGGGCTTCAAGAGAATCCGACTGCACTGACACTATCTGCAAGTCAAACGGAGCCTAGGGCTCCAATCAATGAATGAATACATATTTATTCAAGTGGACAAATAATAATATATATATAAATGTATATAAAGTACAAATATGTTCATTTAAATAACATTGAAATCAGAGATGGGAGGAGAAATTAAGTTCACAATTCTTGCAGGAGACATCAGTCAGTAATCAGCCAGGTGCTGCCACAGGGGAGGAGATAAAGAGACCTGGGTAGCAAAGGAAAGGAACTGAAGCGTACAGACTGAAATCTCTAAAGAATCAGGACAGGTAAGATGTTTCAACTTTGTGAGAGATCCGTAGAGCTGCGGTGCACTTCAAAAGATGAAGTTGTTCTGATGAAATGTTTGCCTGTGTGCCCCATGTCTTTATAAGTCACTGTAAGGATATGATATATATATCATTTGCAGGGCACTGTGACCAGATACGCTGATGGCTAATTCCATATTGATTTTATTATTGTCGGTCACAAACTATGTTCACTGGGACACCATTTGTGTAAAATAAGGACTTATCAAAGTCAAAGTCAACTTTATTTTCAATCTCAAAATATGTTTGTACACACAGAAAGATGGAAATAGTGTTTCCCACAGTTCCGAGGTCTAATAAAAACATTTAAATGCAAGAACACTCAATAATTTACAAAAAGATCCACAGAATAACCGTTTACTTCAAGTAAGCAGGATATATGTAAAAAGATAATGTACATAGTAAATGGGAGTGCAAAATTGTCCATAGCAGCGTAAAAGTGACTGATTTGTTGTGTCTGTGCGTGGGTCCCGGTCCAGTGGGGGCAGGGTGCAGAGGTGAGATAGAGGGGAGAAGGGAGAGAGTTCAGCCTCCTTATAAACGTTTGACTTACTTTATATTGCTCTGATAGTTTGCAAAAGGAAGTATAATGTAATGCTATTTCAATAAGTCAATACATTGAAATTAAAAGAGTTGAATAAATAATATTTAAATAAGTCAATACATGGATTTAAAAGTACAATGAATAAATAAATACAATAAAATATTGTTGCTAAAACGGAGTAAAAACTATCTTTAAATTAGTAAATGAATGCTGAAATGAAAAAGGGCTTACATTAAGTGGTAAGAGTTTGATTTCATATTTACAATGAACACATTTCTGTGCTTAGTTTGCACTAAGCACAGACATTTTTGTGGAACATTTGAAAAGTGTCTGCTGTGGGGAAACTACAGTTCTCTGTACAGCGGACTTCTGGAACATAGATACTTGCACCTATACTATTATAATGTTGCTTTTTTGCAAGCTTTATGAACGTAGACAACAGTGAAAATATATTCTTCATTTGCAAGTTTGGAATTCAAATAAAGTGAAACTTAATGGTTGCTCGCCCTCACCCTGCGGTCCACACGAATCGTAATACGTATGATTGTATGAAAAGATTTTTAAATAAATACAATTGTATTTATTGTAAACATGTTGGGCCTCAACATCTAATACTGTGTATCTCACCACTCCATTTGATTAAGGCTTAGGAACCCCATGCAGCTCAGTAAACACTGTGAAATGTGGACTTGATTTGATTCTTTCACAGTAAAAAAGTAACGTTCACGTTTTACCTTTTGATTAATATAGAGTTGAACGTTTTAGAGGAAACTTCATCTGGAGGGAATTTGGGGACTTAGTCTTTGCAGACCATTTACATGTTTGCCCGTACTGTTTTTGCTTTATATGCTTTTGCACGCTTTCTTATAATGTTTTATTGTTTCTTGTGCTTCTTGCTGTATTACCTGTAAGTCACTTTGGGTATGAAATGTGTATATACAAATACATCTTTATTGCATTGCCTAAAAAAAAGCTAAAGAAGTATTTGAATTTGACTGGAGATGTAATGCACAGCAGTACAGACTAAAAAGATAGCTATCAATGTCTGAAAATGTAAGTGTTTCTCAGTGTTTTTTATTGATATGTGGCAAAGCAAATGGTATATCTCACTTCTTCCTCTCTAAAGCTGCTGTATCTTTTAAAATCCTAAAGCTTGTTGCTGCAAGTATGTTCACCACCTTATAATCATTAAGAAAATGTGGGAATAGTGTAGTGTGTGCATCAATCAATCACCTTGGAAGTGGTGACCAGCCGTCTGTGCATGATGCTGCAGGGCTCTGATGTGCTCTGCTCCACCTTAGAGACGTACAAAACAAATAAACAATTAAGATGAAGTTGCAATCAACATGAATGCATCTTTCATAGCCTTGTGTACTAAGAGAAACAAGCACACATTAAGGCATACAATGACTTGACATATTATGGTCTTGAGAGCTCATACGGAGAAAAAAAATGCAAGGTTTACAACTCTTCTTCTTTTCTTCCAAAAACAATAAATAATTCAAAACCATTTCAAACATAACCAGTTCTCCTTTTAATGTGCAAGTTATCTTTTCTAACGGATGACTGAAGAACATCTGCCTTGCTTATCGTTTACAGAATCTATTGTCTTTTTACAAAACAATGCAATTAGTCTTTTGCAATGCAGGCAATAAAACTGCTATTATTCTTTCTTCCTGCATATTCAAACATATTAACAAATAAATAACACACGCACCATGTTACACCATAATAACAAGAGAGGGTTGTTATACCTGAGTTAGTTGGAAGATGCTGAAGTGGGTCTGAGCTGTGACTCTGTTGGTATCGGAGGGAGCCATATCTCTGGAGTGGTCCTGAAGTAAAGACGGAATAACACTTATGCAGGAATATGTATAGGGTACAGAGAACTGGTCCCAACAGTAACTACTGTCGGACTACGGTACTGTCACTTATTCCAATTGGAGCCAATGAACTGGCATGGCTGATGATACAGAAAACGTAGACTTTACTGACCTGAGTCCATCAGAGCTCTTGGACTAGGCCAATCAGGTCTGAGGTGTTGTCCAAAGTCTTCTCTGTAACCCTGAAGAACTAAGCATTCAGAAAACGGTTCAAGTCAAACAGTATTAAAGCACAACTGGCTTCTGTGCTTTACTGCAGTACAACCTTCAGAAAGGATGTTGTGGATGTTTACAAAGATATATGACTAGAACAGTTATTTGATTAGGGCTGTGTAGGAGTTATCTAACACCTTTATAGAGTTAAGATATTCCCTAATGCACAGTAACAAAGGCTTGCTCCTTTTGCCCATACATTGACCAAAGAATGCAGTGTTTAGTGTTGATGTGCTGATGCTCATCTCATGCATTAAACATTTCTTTTTTTTTTTTTCATCATGCAAGTTAAATGTTTGTTTTTTTCAGCAGCTTGCATTTTCTTTTTCTTTCATGTTGCGTGGGCTGCTGTTCCTAGAATAGAGGGCATCCTTATCAGTGCAAGAACTCACTTTGCAAGTCAGGTAAAACAACACAAGGGTATTTATAATCTTCAACTCAACTTTAACCATTTTCCGAAATAAAAGTGTTGAGTTTTGTTGTTGGTGTAAAAGCATTTAATACAGTATTCAGGTCCATCGACAGGAAAAGCTCCCACTGAAATCCAGTCATTTAAATGTACATCAAATCATACTGTATTGTGTGACATGAACTTATTTATAAATGATCAATCAGTTACAGGAAAGGTCTCCCTGTTGTTGACCACCGTTTTATTGATCAGTTATACAGGGGCATAAACAGAGTCATTAAAGAGGTCATGCAGTAGCAGAGGTAAAGCCCTCAGCGGACTGACCAAGCCCCCAGGAAGTGCGCCGGACTGATGAAAATATTTGTTGAATCCAAACGGCGGTACTACAATTTCAGTCTGTGACGTCACCCGGCCCAGAAATACTTTTCCCCATTGACTAACATTGGGAAAGAGACGTCTATAAATCAGCGGGTAATTAAAAAAAAAAAATTAACTACACAGTATGAACTATTTTATAGCCCTTATTATAATCATTTGGTCCTTAAAGTTGTAAAATGCACTAAAAGCTGAATCTAGATTTATTTTCTGTCTCCATTCATTCTAGTGAGCCGAGAGTGGGAGCTCCAGGGGCGGAGCTTAAGGGGCGCATGCTCTGTCACTGTACATACAGGTTCTGATGGGTAATCTGTGAAGTTTCGCTCTCTCAAAAGTTGGGCCATTTTGTCCTCATGCGCCAATGAGCAGCTCTCATAGGAAAGAACGAGACCTCGCCTCCGACGCTGTATCCAGTTCTTATTAAACATCCATGGGACACAATTAAATATCGTCCGCCACAAATGGATTTCAA